CGGGGGGGGGGGGGGGGGGGGGGGGGGGGGGGGGGGTAGCGGGGGCGACGCGAGACAAGTGAGATCGCCCTGCACCAGCGCGCCCGGGGCCCGAGCGAGGGGGTGGGGGGGGGCTTCTCGTGGTGTCCCTCCTGGGAAAGGGGCTCAGGCTGGTCGCGCGCGCCGAAACAGCCCCGGCATCTGTGACCCAACGCGGTGTTTTGGTTTCGCCGTGCACCGCCTTCCGCCAGACCATTCTCTTGGGGCGGCGATCCCCCCCCCCCCCCGCCGGCATGTCCCCGCCTCGCCCGGCCCCCTCCGTCCGGACCCGGCTCGGTCTGGGCCAACCCCCCAGCAGGCCGATGGGAGCCCAGATGGATCCCCCCCCCCCCGGCCACCGTCCCCCGAGCTGCCCGCGGCGAGAGACCCAGGCAACAGGACGGAGGGGCTCGGAGAGCTGGGCCCCCTCGAAGGTGCCGGGGGGGGGGAGGGGGACATCTCGTCCTCCTGCCCCCTCTCCACCTCGCCCCCCCTCGCTGGGAGCCGGCGGGGCCTGTCTGCGCCAGGCTGCGACGCGCGTCCTCGCCAGCCGGCTGGGTCCGGTCGGTTGACGCAACACCGCCGGCGGCCCGCCATCCCCTCCGGGCAGCCTCGCCAGTGGGGGTTGGCAGGGGGATCTTGTCCCCGCCCCCCCGCCCCCCCGCCCCCCCGCCCCCCGGCCCTGGCGCAGGGAGAGCGATCTGGCATGCGTGGTGTTTTCGGCCGGTGGCCGGCCACCGGCCGGTCCGCACACCGGGGCACCCATCTTCCTTGCATCCTCCCCTCCTTGTCTTTCTCCCTCTGCCTCGCCGAAGCACCTGCCTCGGCCTCCTCGCTCGCCCTCCCCCCTTCGCCCCGCCACCCGCCCTCTCGCCACCGCCGCCCTCGGAGGAGAGCGCGCCGCCATCCCCAGCCAGCGAGCTTTCGCTCCCGCCTCCCCCCCTCCAACCCAACCCCAATCGCACCGATGGAGACCGTTGACATCCCCAAGAGGTCGGTCTACCGGATGACCGTCCCGGTCAATGGGCCGAACCGCTGCATGCTCATTTGGAAGTTCAGCATCGCCCGGAAGGTGCGCGCACATGCCCCCCCCCCGTGCACCATCGCCGCGGCCACCCGCTCCGCGCCATGCTCCCTGATATGCGGCACTTGTGGCCGATGTGTGTCCCGCCCCGCTGACGGCCCCCGCCGCACCTCCCTGCCGCCATCTGGCACCCGGCCACCCGCACACACCAGTGCATTGGCTTCTCGATCACCCGGCAGCGCGCCACCGACAAGGTGTTCACCGAGGTTCTGCCGATGTCGCGCACCGACGGCCACGAGGTACGCCTCGCAGCGGCCTCGCAGCGGCCCTGCGCCCGCCCCCGCCCGGTCTCCCGGCTGTGGCTGCTGGCTTTGGCTAACCCTCCATATCGCTGCACGTCCTCCCCTTTCCGCGGGTCCTGGCCCTGGCCCCATCCGCCCCTGGTGCATCGCCGGCCGCCTCCCGTTCCACAGGGCTCCCTGATCATCGACGAGCCGGCGGTCTACCTGTTCGTCTTCAACAACTCCTTCTCCAAGATCACCACCAAGCGCCTGAGCTTCATTGTGGAGGTGCGCAAGCTGCCGGAGCTGATGGCCGGGGCTGGCCTCCTTCCCGGGTCCCCGTCGGCCAGCGTGGCTGGGCAAATCTCCGCCGAGCTGGAGGTTCCGGCCGAGCAGTCGCCGCTGCCCGGAACAGGCGCCAGCGCCGAGCTCGCCGCCGCCGAGGCCGGCGCCTCGCACAGCACTGCCACGTCGGTGAAAACCAACTCCGGCACCGTGGCCGCCACGTCGGCCTCCTCCTCGCCCACTCCGCAGCAGCTGCCCCTGCGCCTGCAGGGGACCACCCAGGGTGCCGAGTCCGAGGACATTGAGGTGTGCGGCTGGGTCCTGAAGCGCAAGCGCCAGAAGGGCATCCACGGTATGTGCCCACATGTCGCCACATCTCTGCTTGCCTTCCCCGTCCGACGCTCCTTTTCCCGGCTCCCGGCGCCCATGTTGACTTCTGTTCCCCGTCCCTGGTCTTTTGCTTGATCCTCTCTCCCTCTCTCTGACTGTCTCTTCTCGTCTCTCTCTCTCTCTCTCTCTCTCTCTCTATCGGCCTCTCCTGCCCCCTCTGCATCCCCCCTCCCCTCCCCCGCCTCTCCCGCCCCGCCTCCCCGTCACCGCCCGGCTGCAGCCTGGTCCAAGCGCTGGCTGACCCTGCGCAGTGGTGGCCTGCTGAGCTACCACAAGACGCCGTCCAGCAACTGCCGCGGCATCTTCGCCCTGTCCTGCGCATATGTCTCGGCGAATGCCCCCTCGAGGCAACTGATCGTGGACACCGGCAACTCGGTGCTGCGCATCCGGGTGCCGGAAAGCGCGGAGTTCCTCAAGTGGGTGCGCGCCCTGTCCCGGTATCGGGCGGTCCGCGGTGCGGATCATCCAATGCTCCGGGATGCCGTGGCCGATGTGACCCCGTCGGCGGGCGAGCCGGCCAAGCCACACCTGGCAACGGCCGACGGGGCCGGGCTCGGGGCCGGTGCCGGGGTGGTCATCCCTGGCGGTGTTGGTGCCGTGGCGCCCGGCGCCCCGAGCAAGATCGACGATGTGCACTTCGACCTGGAGGTGGCGCGTGTGAAGCTGGATGTGGCAGACGATGCGCTGTCCTTTGCCTCGGGGCTGCTGCTGGCACACCAGGCGGTCCTGGGTCCGGCAGCGGCGGCCGCCCTGAGCCGTGTCGTGGCCGATGGCCATCACCATGGCGGGGACTCGGACTCCAGTGATGACGATGAGTCGGAGCCCTCGCTGTCGGCGGATCTCGCCTCGCCGACGATGGCCATTGCCGGTGTCGGGGCTTCTGCCTCCGGGCCGCTGGCCGGCTCCCCGGAGGACGCGTTGGTGCGTCTGCTGGACGCGTTGCAGGCCCTGCGCAGCGCGTACAGCCTGCTGTCTCTGTCGGAGCGCTCGTTGGCCCAGCACCTTCCGGCGTCCGGCACGTCCGGGGTCTTGCTCACTGGGTCTGGCCGTCTGCCGAGTGTGGCCCCTGTCGGTGCGTGCGGTCTGCCCTCTTGCCTCGGTGTCTCGCCTCGGTGTCTGGGTTTTTTTTCCCCCCCCCCTCCCTCTCACTCTTCCCTCTGCGGGCGCTTCTCCGTCTCCCCACGAGAATCGCAATGGCTCACCATCCGTCCCCCTCTTTTTTTTCCTCTCCTCTTCGTCACAGTCGCTACGGACCCGCGCTTCCTGGCCGATAGTGACGAGGACTTCTTCGATGCGCAGGAGGCCAGCGACAGTGACTCGTCCGACGATGATATGGACCTGGGTGCCGGCGAGTCGGTGGACGTGGTCAATCGTGTTGTTATTCCCCAGGCGGCGACCGCGCCGGCCGCCGCGGCTGCCACGGCCCTGACACCGGCACCCGCCGGTCTGCGGCCAACCGGCATGACCACAGTGCGTGCTCCTGCACTGGCTTCTTCCTCCCTCGCCTGCCTCTGCGCGGGTGCCGCCCCCTCCCCCCCCCCCCCACCTCACACGTGCCTCGTACACCGCATGCATGGTCATCGCCTGACACCTGTGCCTTCAACCGCAAACCACCTTTGTTCCCCCCCCCCCTCTCTCTCTCTCTCTCGCCCGCAACAGAGCGTTCCCCGACTGGCGCGCAAGACCCTGCTGGTTCCATCGCCGGCCGAGGTGCCGGACGTCGGGCTATTTGGCCTGCTTCGCAAGAGCCTCGGCAAGGACATGAGCCGCATCTCCATGCCGGTTGTCCTGAATGAGCCGCTCAACGTCATGCAGAACCTCTGCGAGGATTTGGAGTATGCAGCCCTACTGAACCAGGTGCGTGTGGTGTCTTGCGCTCGTGACTGCCCCCTTCCGCGCTCCCCGCCCC